TGTACATTGAGCTATTAATGTTAAAATTGTAGTTCAAACGGTATTTTCACTTTAGGTTTCCGTGGGGGGGCACACCTGTTGAAATCTTTACTTCATTACGCTAACTGTTCTCCTGGATATAAAGAGAAACGAAAATCAATCTTGATGTGAATGGAAGGGGAGAGGGAGTGGGAAAGGGGAGGGTTGCGGGTGGGAGGGACATTATGGGGGGGAAGCCATTGTAATCCATATTCTGTACTTTGGAAATTTATATTCATTAAATAAAAGTTTAAAAAAAATTCAGTTGCCTCAACATGTATTCAAGAGAAGAAATTCTGTAGCATTCAAAAGCACATCTGTGTTACAAGGAACACATTTCCCGAATAGGAAAAGTCTTCTGACTATGCAAAATCTCCAACTCTCAATTGTGTGTCTTGTGATTTTCTCTACCCAAAGCATGTTTTTGAGTCAGTATAGTTTAGACATGTGGTCAAGCAAGTCAGAGTAGCATCAGGAGCTGAGTAAAATGACCATAAAACCAAATATACCAATAGGGAATTACTTTAGGGCGAAACGCTCACTTTGAAAGTACTGCAGGGCCTGGAGCTATAGAGCATTGAGTTAAGCTTTCCACAGTGCTGGCATCCCACTGGGGGCTGGTTCAAGTCTTGCTGCTGCACGTCGAATCCAGCTCCCTGCTCATGTGCCTAAGAAAGCAGTGGAATATTGCCCAAGTGCTTGGATCTCTGCACCCATATGAGATACTTGGAAGAAGAGCCCCTGGCTCCTGGCTTTGGCCTGGCCCAGCCCTGGGTGGAAGCACACTCATTCATTCTCTCTCTCCCTTACTCTCTCTCTCTAACTCTACCTTTCAAATAAATTAAACACTGAAGGAAGGAAGGAAAAGAATGAAAGAGAAGAAAAGGAAAGAAAGAAAGAGAAGAAAAGGGAAGGGAAGGGAAGGGAAGGGAAGGGAAGGGAAGGGAAGGGGAGGAGAGGGGAGGGGAGGGGAGGGGAAAGAAAAGAAGGGGCCGAGGCCGTGACACACTAGGTTAATCCTCTGCCTGCAGGGCCAGCATCCCATATCGGTGCTGGTTCTAGTCCTGGTTGCTCCTCTTCCAGTCCAGCTCTCTGCTATAGCCTGGGAAAGCAGTAGAGGATGGCCCAGGTCCTTGGGCCCCTGCAACTGCATGGGAGACCAGGAGGAAGCACCTGGCTCCTGGCTTTGGATCAGTGCAGCTCTGGCAGTTACAGCCATTTGGGGAGTGGAACCAATGGAAGGAAAATCTCTCTCTCTCTCTCTCTCTCACTGTCTGTAACTCTACCTTTAAAATAAATAAATAAAATCTTTTAAAAAATAAATAAAATGAAGAGAAGAAAAAAAAAGAAAGCTAGTTCAGCACTCCTAGTGTTTAGGGGTGGGTTTGGTAATGAATGTGTCTCAAAAGCATGAGATGAACTATCTCATTGGCTTTCCTTTAGAGACATGCTGACCACTGGTGATTATGACTTTACTGTGTTATGAAGTAAAATGTCCATTGATTCTCCTAAGTTTGTTTCATTTCTAAGTTACATTAAAATTACAGAATTTACTCAATATGAAATTAGTTGCAAAATAATTGAGATAGAGGGTCCAGTGCTATGATAGAGCAGATTAAGCTGCTGCCTGCAGTGCCAACATCCCATATGGGCACTGATTCAAGTCCTGGCTGCCCCACTACTGACCCAACTCCCTACTAATGCTCCTGAAAAAGTAGCAGATGACTCAGTTCTTTGGGCCCTGCCATCCACATGGAAAATGCAGATGAAGCTCTTGGCTCCTGTTGCAGACATTTCAGGAGTGAACCAGTGGATAGAAGATTCTCTCACCCTCTGTAACTCTGCCTTTCTAGTAAACAAATAACTAATTCTTTTGAAAATAATCTAGATGGCAATGGAAACTAGAAATAAATCTGGAACATGGTATGCTATCCAGCTGGTCTAGAGTTTTTGCTGTGGGAGGAGGAGCAACCCCCCATTTCAAGCCCTGAGGAGGTCCTGGGTTGTTCAGACATGAGGAGCTCTCAGATATTATGTTTAATGTTCTGTGTGATCTGATGTAACAATTCCACCCCTCCAAAGGAACCAGAACCCAGAGCTCTGGTGGTCCAGTTTAGCTTAAGCTGCACAACTCTGAATCTGTGTAATAGGCAATTTACAAAAGATACTGCTATTACAGTTATCATAAGATTGAGTCAAAATGTTCAGATTTTCTAAAGATGGAGACTATCTTTTTATTCATTGAATTTGTCCTGAAAACAATAGCGAGTCACCTAATCTTTCAATAATAACAATAAATAATTTAAATTGGCATGGAAATTAAATGCAAGTCTTTTCAGTTGCAATAAACAAAATGGCATTCTGCTACCATAAAATATACACTGCGGGTTCTCTTAAAGATTTGGGACTTCTAAAGGAATGCAAAATGGGTGCAGCTGTCCTCTTGGGGCATGGAACCAGCATACCCATAACAACTCAATGGGGAAGGCCTCCTCTCTCTGTGTTTCTTTCTGCTTTGTTCTTTTCTCTCCTTGCAAACCACCCTACTCTGGTTTTGGAGGCACGTGAATAAACACTGCCCAACTTTTCTCAGCCCCTGCGTTTGTAGGACAACAGTTAAGGCACCTTATTGTCTGATCACCAAATCCCAGTTCCAGTAAGAAAGTATACAGTGGTCTCTGTTTTGCTTTCATCAGACATCTGGGACACAGGTTACACTCTGAATTAGGAACAAAGTCATGCTTTGTGAAATGCTGCTCCAGGGCCCAGCACTGCGGAATGAAGAATAAAGCCAGGTAAAGCCGCCTGCTGCTCCACTTCTCATCCAGCTCTCTGCTATGGCCTGGGAAAGCAGTGGCAATTGGCCTGATCTTTGGGTCTCCCACCAATGTGGGAGACCTGGAAGAAGCTTGAGGCTCCTGGCTTTGGATCGGCCCATCTCCAGCTGTTGCAGCCGTTTGGGGAGTGAACCACAGGATGGAAGACCTTTCTCTTTCTCTCTTTCTCTCTTTCTCCTCTTTCTCTTTCTCTTTCTCTGCCTCTGCCTCTGTGATGCTGCCTTTCAAATAAAGAAATAATTCTTTAAAAAAAAAGCTACTCCAGGACTCAGACCCTAGAATCAGTATGGAATAGTTTTCAGAAAAGGGCTTGGACTCAGGGAGTGAATCTAGGAGGCAGGAGAACTTTGGAAGAGCAATTTTTAATGATGCATGTGGTACTCAAAACACCACTTTATGGTTTTGTAAAATAGACAGAAAATATTATGCAACTCCACAAATAATATTTAAAAATCAACATGGCACTAAGTATGAAGTAAAGGAAAAATAAAAGAAATTTGTCATCATATTAAGTATGGGTTCAGTATTTAAAATACTGTGATACCGGCTGGCGCCGTGGCTCACTAGGCTAATCCTCTGCCTTGTGGCGCCGACACACCGGGTTCTAGTCCCAGTCGGGGCACCGGATTCTGTCCCTGCTGCCCCTCTTCCAGGCCAGCTCTCTGCTGTGGCCTGGGAGTGCAGTGGCAGATGGCCCAAGTGCTTGGGCCCTGCACCCCATGGGAAACCAGGATAAGTACCTGGCTCCTGGCTTCGGATCAGCGCAGTGCACCAGCCGCAGCGCACCAGTGGCGGCGGCCATTGGAGGGTGAACCAACGGCAAAGGAAGACCTTTCTCTCTGTCTCTCTCTCTCACTGTCCACCCTGCCTTTCAAAACATAAATAAATAAATAAAAGAGGAAAAAAATACTATGATACCGCTGTACTGAAGATATTGGTGTGAACTCAGATGCTTATATATGATATATGAAATCACTGTAAGATGAGATTTACCTACAAATATGTAGTAATGAGATACAAATGAATTGCATTGTGTCCTTCAATGCCACCATGAACAAATTTTTCTGTAAGCTGCTTTTCCTGAAATGTGAGGCATTTTAAGTAAATTTCTGAACCAGCTACCACCTACTCTGAAGTTGCACATTGATTGGGTTTCTACCAGATATTGCAAGTAGTCAAACCAGTCAAAATGTGTAGGTGTTTTATTTAAAGTTAGGTGTAGAGTCAAATGTCAATTTTTCACAACCATGAGTGTGCAACAGTGTATAATAGAAACTTATGCTGGATGAAGTTGGTTCTGTATTTTTTCTAATGCTGTCCCACCCCCTGTACAGTGTCCAGATTCACTAAGTTGGTCTAAATTAAAGTAGCACCCACAATCACTGACACAATCTAAAATATTCCCACACGCTGCACATACTGCTCCCACAAAGGGAAGTAGTTTATAGAAATGCATTTCTAGGAAGAGTACCTCACCAATGATAAATACCTTCTCTGCCTTGCCTTTGATTTGTCAAATCCTAAACTTTCTCCTGCTGAAATTTGTCTTCTCTAAACAGCCGATTCAATCCTTAAATAATGTTGGAATTTTTCAGTTCTTGTCTTTCTAGATGTACTATTATTCTGCAGTCAGTTTCTGGAATAATAATGTTAATGTTCCCTAGATCTCTGCCTTAAGAAGTCTCTCATTTTCTTACAACAAACTCTTTGGAACATCATTTTTTCTCTCTGAACTTTTGTAAGTAGATCTAGGCTCATAGTTTTAACATTTAAAGCTTTCACTTAGACCTCTGCTTGGAGATCCGCAGAGACATATTCTGCTGTCTACTAAAAATCTCCCCTTAGCAGCCCCATGAGGACCTTCAAGACAACACCTGCACAGCCAAGCGTAACATCTCCCTGTGCACCCTGCTTCTCCCTGGCTTCAGGGATCCTAACTGGGTTTAATGGGGTGATAGGTAGAATAAAATGCCTGCAACTGAGAAGCTGTCAGCTGCCCTTCTGAATGTGCAAAGCAGAAGAATCTTTGCTATTCTAAGACATTTTGCTGATTCTCCGATTTTGTTTTTTTTTCTTTGTTATGCCAATAGAGACCCAGATTCTGAGCAGAGGCAAGGCTACAATCTTCTGGTTATAGATACTTGTGTGTCTTGGAAAATGTCAAATTTTCTCAGGCTAGTTAGAGTCTGTGGAGCAGGTGGGAAGTATGAATAAGGCAGGGGAGCTTGAGGGATGGCCAGCCTATTATTTTTTCTACCCAAGGAATCCAAAGACCTGATTATGAGGTTGGTAAATACTGTGAATAAAACTGCCAACTTCCACAGTATGCATTCTCCCCGGACTCTGTGAGTAGTTAAACTTTCCTTTTAGTTGGGAATGTGACTACTCACACTGACCATATTCCATTTCAGGCCAGTAAAATGGGGAGTAAGGAATGTGTACCTATTCGTATGTGCACCTGAATGGCAGAGTTCTGTTTTTTGCTGTGGACTTTCTTTTCCCTTTTGGTATAGAACATAGGCATGGAGGTGACCTGTGTCTAAACCTATAAAGAATCAATCTTCAGTGCAAAAACTCAACCTGAGTGCCTATGAACTGCTAATAAAAAAGAAATTATCACTTTTTATCACAAACTTCTAAAAATTTGTCATTTTCTTTAGACATGATCCAGGAAGCGCATAACAGATATAGTACAATGAGTGCATATTTTTATACTCATCACTACTTCAAATGATGGTGATCATTAGATCCTCCTCTAGGTTGTTTTAAATATTGTCCCAATAAAGAAAAATATACTGTTGTACTACAATCAATCAACAAATATTTTGATATTTGAAAACTATTTTCATATTCATAGCATTTCCTTTAATAATTTATTCTTTTTAAAATTTATTTGAAAGACAGAGTTACAGAGAGAGAGAGAGAGAGAGAGAGAGGGAGAGAGGTCTTCTATCCATTGGTTCACTCCCCAAAGGACAACAATGGCCAGGACTGGGCTGTTGCCAGGAGCTAAAGCCAGGAGCCAGGAGCTTCTTCTGAGTCTCCCATGGGAGTACAGGGGCCCAAGAACTTGGGCCGTCTTCTGCTGTTTTCCCAGGTGCAACAGCAGAGTACTGGATCAGAAGTGGAGCAGCTAGGACTCAAATCGATGCCTGCATGAGATGCTGGCAATGCAGGTGGTGGCTTTATCCACTATGTCACAAAGCCAGCCCCTCCTTTAATAATGTGTTCTAATTTTTGAGTCATCTGTAGGCTTAGTAGGCTGCCAAAGAAGAGAGCTACATAGCATGAGAACCTTTACTTAAAATGTGGCTTAATAATACCCTGTGAAGAACTTGAGTCTCTAAATAACTGTGTACAGCAAACTGCTCCACCTACCCAAACCACTCACTATAGACTTGATACATACAAGAGAATTACAATTTCAGTTATTTAATTCCCACCATCTGCACCCTTCTTTGTTTAGGAGACATGAAATGAATTATATGTCTCTTGAAGGAACTAACCTCCTCATACATTTATTTTGCTCTTGATACCTCCAGCACTGTGGGAGAATCAATTTATATTGTTTTAAGCCTCAAACATGTGGTGATTATTTGTATCTTTAGTAAGAGAACACAGATTTTGTTACTCAAAATGGTATGCTGCTGTCACTAATACCTCACAAGATGAAAGTAGTGTGAATTGGGTGATTATTTTGGACTAGAAGAGTTTTGAGGGGGATGATAGAAATGCTTGCATTGCCCTGAAGAGACTGTTGGTAGAAATGTGAATGTTAAAGCAGTTTCTGTTGAGGCCCTCAATGTTAATGAGGATTATATTATTGGAAACCTGTGAAAAAGAAACCCCAGAAACATGCCTGAGTGGCATCCTAAAATTGAATAGAGAGAACTTGTAAGCAATGGATTTGTCTGTTCAGCCTAGGATATTTCCAATCAAGATGGATAGGGTACAGCCTGATTCTCTTTGATCTTTACTCTAAAATATACAAGGAAATGGTAATACAAGTATGGAAATATAAAGTTAAAAGGAAGTGGGATTTAGCAATTTTTTAAACTTTTATTTAGTAACTATAAATTTCCAAAGTACCGTTTATGGATTACAACGGCCCCCCCATCCCCATAACTTCCCTCCCACCCGCACTCCTCCCATCTCACACTCCCTCTCCCATTCCATTCACATCAAGATTCATTTTCAATTATCTTTATATACAGAAGATTGAGTTAGTATATATTAAGTAAAGATTTCATCAGTTTGCACCCACACAGAACATAAAGTGTAAAATACTGTTTCAGTACTAGTTATAGCATTAATTCACATTGGACAACACATTAAGGACAGAGATACCACATGAGGAGTAAGTACAAAGTGACTCCTGTTGTTGACTTAACAATTTGACACTCTTGTTTATGGCGTCAGAAATCTCCCAAGGCTCTTGTCATGAGTTGCCAAGGCTATGGAAGCCATTTGAGTTCACTGACTTCAATCTTATTCAGACAAGGTCATAGTCAAAGTGGAAGTTCTCTCCTGTCTTCAGAGAAAAGTACCTCCTTCTTTGATGGCCCTGTTCTTTCTACTGGGATCTCACTCACAGAAATCTTTCCTTTAGGGGTTTGTTTTTCTTTTTCTTTTTTTTTTTTTTTTTGCCAGAGTTTCTTGGCTTTCCATGCCTAAAATACTCTCATGGTTTATTGCAGCTCAATTCACAATAGCTAAGACCTGGAATCAACCTAAATGCCCATCAACAGTAGACTGGATAAAGAAATTATGGGACATGTACTCTATAGAATGCTATACAGCAGTCAAAAACATGAAATCCAGTCATTTGCAACAAAATGGTGGAATCTGGAAAACATCATGCTGAGTGAATTAAGCCAGTCCCAGAGGGACAAATATCATATGTTCTCCCTGATCTGTGACAACTAACCAAGCACAAAAAAGGAAACCTGTTGAAGTGAAAGGGACACTATGGGAAACAGTGACTTGATCAGCCCTTGTCCTGACTGTTGCTGTACAATTTAATACTTTATCCCTTTTAGTATTTTTTAATATTTTTTGGTTGAACTCTGTAATTAACACACAATTATTCTTAGGTGTTGAAATTTAACTGAAAAGTGATCCCTGTTAAATATAAGAGTGGAAATAAGAGAGGGAGGAGATGTAAAATTTGGGACATGCTCAATCGGACTTACCCCAAATGGTGGAGTTAGAAATGTGCTAGGGGATTCCAATACAATCTCATCAGGTTCCATGTACCAATGCCATCTCACTAGTCCAAGTGATCAATTTCAGTTCACAATTGATCACACTGGTAGGTCTAAGAGTCAAAGGGATCACACAAACAAGACTAGTGTCTGCGAATACTAACTGATAGAACAAAAAAGGGAGAGAACAATCCAACATGGGAGGTGGGATACACCGCAGACTCATAGAATGGCAGATGCCCTAAACAGCACTCTGGCCTCAGAATCAGCTCTTAAGGCATTCGGGACTTAGCATTTTGGGAGTTTCTAAGCCTTTCCAAATGGCAAATGATTCTTTAATTCAGAAATTCTCTATTGAGAGAAATAATGTTCTCGAGGAAATGTCAAGTGTATAGGTAGATAATACTTTACTGAAAAGAGTAAACATGTGAATCATGTATTCAGGCTCAGCAGGATCAAGGAATAGAGTTCCATCTGGAGAACTTCTAATGACATGGATTCCTTTGACATACACAGGAATTCTACAAGGATTTTGAGAATGTTACACCATCATAAAAACTGTCAATTTGAATTGAAAGTGGTGTTATAAGAGAAGGCAATTGGATTTGTACAATTCTATAAACTGGAAGCAAGTCAACAGAGCTACTCAGTGGCCAAAACTTAAAAAGTCCAAAAGATCAAGAGAACAAAAAGTTGATTTTTTGAGAAGATAAACAAAATAGATAAACCTCTAGCCAGAGGAAAAAACTTGAATAAACGAAATTAGAGATGAAAAAGGAGACATTAAGACTGACACCATTGAAACACAAATGATTATAAGAAAGTACTATTTAGAATGATATATTAATAAACTGAAAAATCTAGATGAAATGGATAAATTCCTGGATTCATATAACCTACCAAGATTACATCAAGAAAATACAGAAACCCTAAAAGACCCATAATGAGCAATGAGATTGAAACAGTAAACAAAAGCAACCCTACAAGGAATTATTCAGGACATGATGGCTTTACTATTTAATTCTACAAAACATTCAAAGAGGAAGTAACTCCAATCCTCTTCAAACTATTCCAAAATATTGAACAAGATGGAACTCTGCCAAGCTCATTTTACAAGACCAGCATAACTTTGATACCAAAACCAAAGATATGACACAAAAAGAAAACTACAGACCTCTATCCATGAACACAGATGCAAAGATTCTCCACAAGATACTAGCAAATCAAATCTAAAAGCACATCAAAAAGATCATACATCATGATGAAGTGGGATTTATCCCAGAAAGGCAAAGGTGGTTCAATATTAACAAATCAATAAATATCATAATTCACAACAATAGAATGAAGAACAAAAATCTTGTGGTCATCTCAATAGTCACAGAGAAAGTATTGGATAAGCCTCAACACTCCTTCAGGATAAAAACCCTCCATAAATTAGGTATACAAGGAACATTCCTCAAAATTATAAAGGCTGCATAGCACAAACCAACAGCCAAAATTATTCTTAATAGGGAAAAGCTGAAAGCATTTCCCCTCAGATCTGGAATAAAACAAGGATGTCAGATTTCACCATTCTTATTCAATATAGTACTGGAAGTTTTAGCAAGCGTAATTAGGGAGAAGAAAGAAATAATGAGCATCAAATTTGGGGGAAAAAATGAAATTATCTGTTTGCAGATGAAATGATGCTGTACATAGAAAAACTTAAACACTCCACCAAAAAACTGATAGCATTGAAAAACCAAGTCAGTGAAGTTTCAGGTTATGAAATAAACACACAAAATCAGTAGCTTTTTGTATGCTAATTATAAATTCACAGAAAGAGAAATCAAGACAGAAATTCCATTCACAGTAACTGCCAAAAATAAAATATTTAGGAATAAATTTAACTAAATAAGTGAAAGATCTTTACATTGAAAATTATCAAACATTGATGAAATAAAGCATTGACACAAAAAAATGGAAAGCTATCCCTTGCTCACAAATCAGAAGAATGAATCTCATTAAAATATTTATACTACCTACAGATTCAATGCAATGCCTACCAAAATAGCAACTATATTCTTTCAGAGTTAGAAAAAAACAACCCTAAAACTTATATGGAACCATAAAAGACCCTAAATAGCCAAAGCAATCCTGAAGAAAACTCAAGCTTGAGGCATCACAATACCTGACTTCAAAGCATTCTACAAAGCTATATTAATCAAAGCATGATACTAGCATAAAACACTATACATAAATCAATTGGACAGAATAAAGGGCCTAGAAATTCATCCGCATACATATAGCCAACTGAGTCTTGACAGAAGTGCTCAAACCATACAGTGGAATAAGGATAACCTCTTCAACAAATGGTGCTGTCAAAACTGGATGTATATATGCAGAAGAATGAAATGAGATCCATATCTCCCATCGTATCCAACTCAGTTTGGATCAAAGGCTTAAATTTCATACCTGAGACTGTGGAGATGCTGTGAGAAAAAGTAAAACACTACAAGACATTGGTGTAGGGAATGACTTCTCGGATAAGAATCCCCAGAGCATGTGCAACAAAAGCAAGAATAAACAAATGGGACTATCAAACTCATCAGCTATTGCAAAGCAAAAAAAAAAAAAAAAACCAAAAAAAACAAACAAACACATCAATAGAGTGAAGAGACATCCAAGAGAATGGGAAAAATATTTGCAAACCACTTATCTCACAAAAGATTAATATCCCAAATATATCTCAAATTTAAAAACTCAACAACAAAAAAGCAACCAATCCAGTCAAGAAATGGACACAGAACTTCAGTAGACAGTTCTTAAAAAGCAAATACAAATAGCCAACGATCATATGAAAAAATGCTCAACATCACTAACTATGAGGGAAATGCAAATCAAAACCACAGTGAGACACCACCTTACCCCTGTCAGAATGGCTAAAATCCAAAATGTAGAAAATGAAAAATACTAACAAGGATGTGGACAAATGGGGACACGTCTATGCTGTTGGTAAGAATGTAAATTGGTGCAGCCACTGTGGAAAACAGTGTTGGGATTTCTTAAAAAGCTAGAAAGAGACTTACTATATGATCTAGTAATCTCATTACTGGGTATATACCCGAAAGACTTGAAAACAATGAATCAAAGTGATACCTACACTATCATGTTTATAGCAGCACAGTACACAATAGATAAAATTTCAAACCAAACAAGGTATGTATCATCAGAGGAATGGATAAAGAAAATGTCATATATATGCATAATGGAATACTATTTAGCTATAAAAATGGATGAAATTCTATATCGCAGCATAATGGATGCAACTGGAGGACATCATGTTGAGTGAAATAAGCCAGATTCAGAAAGAAAAATACCAGGTGTTCTTCCTTATATGTGCGAACTAAAATTTTAAAAAGAAAGGAAGAAAGAAAAAAAAAGATCAGATTGCAGAAAATACAGTTTTGTAAAACTTTAATTTATAACTTTTTCAAACCAATGATTAAGAATGTCATATGGGCCGGCTCCGCGGCTCACTAGGCTAATCCTCCTCCTTGCGGCGCCGGCACACCGGGTTCTACTCCCAGTTGGGGCGCCGGATTCTGTCCCGGTTGCCCCTCTTCCAGGCCAGCTCTCTGCTGTGGCCAGGGAGTGCAGTGGAGGATGGCCCAAGTGCTTGGGCCCTGCACCCCATGGGAGACCAGGATAAGTACCTGGCTCCTGCCATCGGATCAGCGCGGTGCGCCAGCTGTGGCAGCCATTGGAGGGTGAACCAACGGCAAAGGAAAACCTTTCTCTCTGTCTCTCTCTCTCACTGTCCACTCTGCCTGTCCAAAAAAAAAAAAAAAAAAAAACCAATGTCATATTATTATAGTTTTAATGATCTTTGACTACTTTAAAATTAGTGTATATGGGTAAAATTATTTTTCCATTCAATTATTGTTTATAGCCATTGTCTACACTCTCATTAAACTAGAGTCTTTTTGCTTTTTCTTTGTAAGATTTCTTATTTGGTGAAGTATAATCTTTTTACTCTAATGTAAATTTATAATATTTTATCTCACAAACTAAAAGAACAAAAAAGAACAGATAGAAAGGGAGAAGGAAGGAGGGTAGGATGGAGAAGGGAGGATGGAGGGAAGGAGGGAGGAATATCTTTATTTCTTACAACTGTATCTCCAAATCACCTTACATATGTTAAAAACTAATTAAACATTAGAAAACAAGAATTATCAACAGTCACTAGAAGTGAGCAGAGAAGTATGGAAAATATTCTCCTTCTAAGTCCTCAAAGAGAACAAACCATGCTGACACCTTAATTTTGTGCTTCTGCCTTCCAGGACGGTGAGAATAAATTTTTATTGTTTTATCACACAAAGTTTGTTGTGATTTATTAGAGAAGTCCAGGAAAGTAACAGGGTAGCTAATTAAAAATTCAAAATACAATTTTATTTAGGTCATTCCATATTTTCTCTCATTAATTATACCTAGAAAGAGCTTGTTATAAACTGATTTCTTGTTCTTAGATACATTATCTTTACATTTCAAAACTTTATATTCTTTTTAAGATTTTTTAATTTTGTTTCAAAATTAAATTAGGTCATCTTGAGGTTATAATAATTTATCACCATCCACTTACATTGGAAGAAGGAACTAATAAAATTTGGATATGACAAATGGCACTTAAACTCACCCATTGAGTATTTGGATAGTGACAAATGGCACTTAAACTCATCTATCTTAGTTCTCTTGGTCAACAATATGTAAAGCAATTTCATTCCTTCTGAGAACCAGGGACGTATTTCACCATGGTCTTCTAGAAAGCAGGACTTATGGTACATGACAAGGGAAGAAGCCATCAATGTATAATCACCTGTCATAATCAACCTTTTCCTTGTTATCAAAAAATAGTCCTGGGCATACTCTGCATGGACTGTTTAGGTAAGTTCTTGAGATTCTAATACAAGGAAGCTGAACATGACTTAGGGGAATATAAACAAAATTTATCATGTTTATGTCTTTCCTGCGACTCATTTTCATCTTTCTAGGTGAAAGCCAGAGTCAGAAGAATTTAGCAACTCCAAGCCTATGGAATAAGTTTGGGAAATGAAAGTTGATTCTGAGTTTCCAAGACTGAGTGAAAAGTGATGTCTCTGAGAGCCATAGAACATCCTGGAAGTCTGGGGATTACTGGAGAAGGGTTTGTGTGCTTTTCTGTATCTATGTTGAGTTGCATTAATATGAAACACATAAATGAAAAGCTTTAGAACCAGCTGCAGATTTTTGTGTGAGTTACAACATACATGTAAGAAATTAAGGTGTCAATTAGAGTCATGAATTCATAATTGTTATTCCCCTATAAATGAAGATATAGTTTTCTAAGACCTACACACTATGATAATTTTGTTGTTTGAGTCCACATATTAAATATTAACCCCCCCCTTTGTTTTTTTGGTGACAGGCAGAGTGTACAGTGAGAGAGAGAGAGAGACAGAGAGAAAGGTTTTCCTTTGCCATTGGTTCACCCTCCAATGGCCGCCGCGGCCGGCGCACTGCGGCTGGCGCACCGTGCTGATCCGATGGCAGGAGCCAGGTACTTATCCTGGTCTCCCATGGGGTGCAGGGCCCAAGGACTTGAGCCATCCTCCACTGAACTCCCTGGCCACAGCAGAGAGCTGGCCTGGAAGAGGGGCAACCGGGACAGAATCCGGCGCCCCGACTGGGAGTAGAACCCGGTGTGCCAGCGCCGCCAGGCAGAGGATTAGCCTGTTGAGCCACGGTGCCGCCCCCCACCCTTTTAATGAGACCACTGACATTTGCTTTATTGTCTTGCACCCTTCAAAACATGTTTGTTTTCAGAATAACTAGACCTTCTAGTAGGTCTGTGTTCAGATCTAGGCTCATCAAGCCCTGTCCTTGCTCTGATCCAGGCCTGAAGAAATTGACTGTTTTAGGGGTGGGCAGCTGCTTCTCTTTGGCTCAGTCAGTATGATGCTCGCAACTTATGATTGGGGAAGAATCTGGACAGAAATCTTGGAACTGTTGCAAACAGTTTTACCAGAGGTAAGTGAGTCTGAATTTGCAGCTCAGACACGAAAGAAGAATCAAGATTATCAGAGAAGCAGAACTTGGGCATGGATGAAAATGCTTTTGAGGCCTGAAATACTGTCATCTTTCAATTATATGTCAATCAGTTTCTTTTTTATTTAGTCATTTCTACTTGCATCTCAGATTACATTTCTTTTACTTTGCCACTTTCACTAATATGATTCATTCCGCAGATTTACAGAATGCAAAATATATTCAAATCATGATTTAGCATTCTGTATTTCTAACTGTATGCTATGAAAGACTTGCTAATTTTACTTCAGAATTACTTAATGACCTTTAAGACTAGATATAATTCAATCACTTATTTTGCAAATGGGAAATGGAGGCCTTTGAAATAATAAAATTACCCCACTTAATAGACTCACATAAAAACACCATTCTTAGTACAAAATATATTTCATCGTGTTCTTTGAACTAGGAAATGATGTTTCAAGTAGCCAACCTAAGTTGGCTGAGGAAGTTCAATGCATATGAGAAAATGATAAGGAGTCCTTTCCTAAACATGAAGCAGAAGTTTAGGAACAATCCACAAACGAGAACAGAATAAATCCCAAGGCTTGGGAAGACTTTTGCCTAGTTTATGCAACAACCACAAGCATATCATGATATGAAGGAAAAGAAAGAAGTGTAATAGTTGACACATAGCAAAAATCTTTGGTTTATTTATTTAGCAAATCTCATGTGTTACTTTACTCTAGACTCTGTGACGGTACCTTATGAAATGATGGTGAGAATCCAGGCTGCACTCTTGCAGAATTCAATAGGAATGCTCATCTCACAAAGAAACATAAGACAAACGGAGGGGTAGGTTCAAGAAAGGAATTGGGGTTGAGAAGACTTCCCCTGATTGCAGGATAAGGAGAATTTAGCAGGTAGAACTCTAAGAGTATTTCAGAACTAGAGTAGAGCATAATCCAAAGTTTGTGATTGAGAAAGGAAGAATAGGAAACTCAGAGAAGTCCACAACATTAATGTGGCCAGAATGTAGAGCGTAGGCAACAATGAGTCATGTTGGTAAGGATGCCAGGCCAACAACACAGGTGGAAGCACACAGGATCATCACAGGACTTAAACACCTCACCATGAAGCAATGTTAGAGAGCCTTTCATTGCAGGAAACAATTGAGTTTCCACCTATAATTTGGAAAGAGAGTTTGTAATTTAGAAAATTGTTGTCAATGCCATGTCCTTCAACATTTTTAAAGGACGTATGCCTACAGCATTAGAAATCATGTTTGTGGTTCCTTCATATAGAAGCATGACTGGTGACTCTCCTTTCACACAAAATAAAACATTTTCAGGTTTAAATAAACCAGAATGCATGATTGAACAACATGCCTGTGAATAAACATGTTTACAATATCATTTTTCCTCTGTATTTAGTATGAACACTTGTGAGCTTGTCATCATCAACAAAAGGTATTGATTAATGTGATAAGCACTCTGCCTAGTTCTACAGAAGCTGATAAGGTAGAGAACACTTGTATGCCATAGGACCCACACAAAGTATAGAGACCCAACTTCTTGTATGCTCTGTGCCAAAATGGTCTACATGCAAAGTGACAGTGAGCTTCTATGTTAAATAAAATGTTAATGTTTATCTCCAGATAGTGAATTTGAGATTATGTGCTTTTCTGCATTACTTAAATTTCCTACAGTGAATAAATATGTATAGTGATAAGAAAAATACATTTTTCATCACAGAGAAGAATTTTTATTTTTAAAGAAGCACTCATGTCACCACCTTATACTGTGTCTCTCTAGAAACAGGGTTGACATGTTGGCTGACCATGAGCTTCAGAGAATTAAAAATAACCACGGGAAATTTTCTCAGGTACTCAAAGAGGGATGTCCTTGCTGGGAGTGTCCTTCTTAATGCCCTCTAGGAGTCCTGGTACTTGGCACCTCCTAAGGATGATTAGCTCACCTGGGCTAGTGAATGACTTATCAGAACTCCCCATGTTGAGCTCAAGTTTGTTGCACTCATTTTCCCATTCATCTAAACACAATACTCTTGCCCACTAGCCTGTAAGGACTCGGAAGATAAGCTAGCTTAGGGTTGTCATGTTACTTCCTCTGACACTGAAGGGACAGGACAGCCACATGGCCACAGTGACTAGTAGTGGAAGCTGGATATTGTCCTGCCATTTGCTCAGGTGGAAGGGGAAGTGAGTTGATGTCAGATAACCAGCTCCTGTCCCATGAAGAGTACTCACTTGTCACATGAGAGCACCTCCTTTGATTGTTGTTGAATAGATGCATTCTGTATTAGAAGGAAGCTGGAATCAGGAGATGAAGGGTGGTACATGAACCCAGGCACTGTGATGTGGGCTGAGGCCTTTCAACCAAAATTTTTAACTGCTAGGCAAATTGCCTGCTTCCTTAGTCATTTGGACATGAGATTATTCTGCAAGAGCATAACCAAATGTAACTGTATAAATCCTACAATCTCATTGACAAACATTGTTTAACATGAAAGAAACCATGCAATAGGGTCTTTAAAAAGGTCATGAAAAATGCGATTGTAAAAAATGCATTTCAAAATCTTTTGCACCAAAATTAATGGATTTTTTAGCTCCATATTTTACCAAAACTTTTGAAGGACCCTTGTACAGGTGTACTTGAATTGTATGATTAATTGTACAATTAGCTAATATGAGGCAACTTTTCCTTTCTGGAAAGTCACAGGCAATAAAGAGGTGGAATAACAATGGTCTGTATGCTTATGGAGTTATAAGCCTCAGAATGAACTCATATTCAGCTTGATGGAAATAATTCAACTTAGATACACACATTTACATATAAAATTCTATGTAATTATAGATACATGGCAAGGAGGATGCATATATGGCTGTATTCTGTCAGTCAATTACAGTATAGAGACAATGACTCACTGGTAGCAATGTGTAACACCTAGCTCCCTAAACTGATTTCTAATAGTGTTTTCCAGTAAAAGGATCTGGAGCTCCTTGAAGGAATGACTCATTCCAGGATTGGTTTGGGAAATTTGCAAGATGTTTATAGAGCACAGGATTAAACAATCTAAAAACAAGAAAATGAAAAATTCCACAAACCCACAATGAGATGATTGTGTTTCAGAAACAGTAGACAACTGAACGAGCTTCCAAAGAACAAAGAACAATCTGTATTCCAAGGATCTCTGTCCTTAATGTGCTGTACATTGAGACTTAATGCTATAACGAGTACTCAAACAGTATATTTCGCTTTGTGTTTCTATGGGGGTGCAAACTGTGGAAATCTTTAATTAATGTATACTAAACTGATCTTCTGTAAAAAAAAAAAAAGAAGAAATTATCAATTCCCAACTTGACTCTCACTGGGATTAAACATGACAATAGGTCTGATCTGATTTCACCATCATTTAAAAAATCATCTATTATTTTTCACTTTATGTTTGTGTGGGAGCAAACTGTTGAAATCTTTACTTAATGTATGCTAAACTGATCTTCTGTATATAAAGAGAATCAAAAATGAATCCTCATGTGAATGGAAGGGGAGAGGGAGTGGGAAAGGGGAGGGATGCGGGTGGGAGAGACGATATGGGGGGAAAGCCATTGTAATCCATAAGCCGTACTTTGGAAATTTATATTCATTAAATAAAAGTTAAAAAAAAGAAAAAAACTAAAATCTATAAGATCATAAATAAAAAAATAAAATACTCCTAGTTCATACTAGTATAATAAATAAGTGAATGAATAAACCAGTTAATAAGAATATACAGATGTCTCATGCAAAATAATTCCTGATCATTTATGTAGATACTCTGCCTTCAAAGAATTGGAACGCAGCTCCCTACTTCCTAGATGTGGCCAGTAGGTACATGATAAAATGCCTTTGAAGAGTACAGAATGGAAAAGTGGACAGAAATTAGATTTTAGTGGAGTATCCTGAAAAGCTCTACCTCTTCCTCACCCAGGTGACCAAGGTTAGCATAAATAGTATCACGTTAATGTCAACAGTGAAGAATATGTACTTCCATTCAATGTGATAAAAATGGCAAGTTACCTCTGTGGCCTTATTTTCAAAAGCCAACCTCAGTATATGAGGAATAAAATGGACCACTTTCAATGGAGACAGATAATTACATAGCATCTATCCAGTACTCTTCACAACTACCAATCAAATGACTGCTGAGGAAGTGTCACAGCCAAAAGAAGCCTAAAGAGATGTGTATTATTTAAGTAAACATTAAATCATTTGATTTTTTTTACTTTTTACAAAAAAAACCTTATCAAACTACTTCAGCAAGATTTCCAAAACAATCATTTTGAAAGCAAGTAAAATGTATTCAAGAATATATAGAATTTGAAACACATGATAATATCTGGAAAATATTCTCAAAAATTTACAAAACCTCAAAAGTTTTATAAAGCAACAGAATTTTTGAATTTACATTGAGCTCTAATACAAGAGGTTGTGCATGTATTTATGTTCTTTAAAAATTCTTATTGCAATTTTAACTTGGTGTCAACAGGAACGTCAGAGGAAGATGAAACTCTTAGTGGTTCATTTATTAAGTGTGACTGTGATGGCAAAGATGAACTTAATCTGGGCTTTTACACATTAGTATTTAAAAGGAATCTGAAGCAGACAGAATTACTTGATTTTGCCTGTTTTTTTATGGAGATATTTTTCATCTTCTCTGTTTCAGTGGTCACAACGAGCTAGTAGATTAAATGCTTATATCAGTAAATGCAAGCATGGATCATGAATGAAAGTTATTCTAATGCCCTGTGGTTCTTTAGACACATGCTGGAGTGATACCTGATCATGAGAAGCCGAGGCTGTAACATTTACCTTGGAAACTAAATGTTAGCTCAAGTAGCAATTGACATTTCTAGCTTCTTCTGTGAATGTCAAACAGTTTCAAATCACTTTCCCAGGTAGGGCCCTGTCTTGCTCTTTGGCCTCAGGTCAGTGTTAGATTATTGAGTATGACTTGTGGCTTTCCTTTCCTCTTCAGAAATTAATATTCATGTCAGTCAGTAGCATGGTGACCAAATTCATAAAAAAAAAAAAAAAAAAAACAAAAACAGATATTTCCAGAGCTGCAGTAAGCTAGCAGGAGCTCTGGAAATGAGGGTGGATCTGGGAATAGGCCTGGAGCTGTGCAAGTGTCAGCCCACCCCACTAAATTCAGAAGCTCTCGAGGACCATGATGAGCGGGCTTTCGCAGAGCTCATCAGTAACACTAAATTCAGCTTTGAGCCCATGATCAAGATGATTGGTATTTACTGATGACATGTCCATAGATCATCCAGCTAACAAAATGCCCTTTTCATCAGTGGAACTTCATTTCTTTATTCTTTTTTGTCACATGCCTATAAGCTACCACCACAGTGAGGAAAGCCCTTACTCTTCTGTTTCTGCCCAATATAACAATGGAAACTTCCTTATGATCTTACGTTCACTGGTGCATCAGTAGTACTAAGAGTTTTCCTTCTGATGTCTCTGCCTATCCATAGTTCCTTCTCCTCTCAATTTGAGCCTATGGAGCTAAATTACACATGACTACTTTCTTTTAAAGATTTATTTACTTGGAAGGCAGAATTATAGACAGAGAGAGAGGTAGAAATTCAGAGAGAGAGAGAGAGAGAGAGAGAGAGAGATCTTCCATCTGCTAGTTCAATCCCCAAATGGCCACAATGACCAGGGCTGGGCTGGACCTAAGCCAGGAGCCGGAGGTTCATCCAGGTTCCTTACATGGGTACATGGGCATTAGTCCTTAGACCATGCTCTGCTGCTTTCCCAGGCCATTAGCAGGGAGTTTATCTGAAGTACAGCAATCAGGTCATTAATTGGTGGCCATATGGGATGCCAGTGTCACAGATGTTAACTGACTGAATGAGTACTGACACATGCTACAACATGGATGAACTTTGAAATACCATGCTGAGTCCAGTGTTGTTGCATAGGACGTTAAGCCTCTGCCTGCAGCACTGGCATCCCATATGGGCACCTGTTTGAGTCCCGGCTGTTCCACAATCAAAGCCACACACACACACACACACACACACACGTGTAACTATTTTCTGTGTGAAAATTTTCAGAACAAAGTTGATAATATCATGATGGAATATTATAGAAAAAATCATATTTTCCTATAATACCCAATTAGGAATTTATCATGTCACAGACCCAGAAGTCCATATATGGTCTGATGAATAGAGCTCATCTTAGCCATTTTTCTTTAAGAACTTTGAAAGAAGGCAACAATTTTTCATACTGGATGAGCCTGGAGTTGAATTGTGTGTGTGTGTGTGTGTGTGTGTGTGTGTGTGGGAGAGAGAGAGAGAGAGAAAGAGAGAGAGAGAGATTTTGTGTGTTTTTCTGTCCATATATCTTTTTCCCTTTCACACAAACACCAAAATCAGAGAGTCCTATATCAAAAATGATTCATGGGGCCAGGGCTGTGGGGTAGAGAGTCAAGCTGCTGTTTGCAGTGCTGGCCTCCCATATGGTTGCTGATTCAAGTCCCAGCTGCTCTACCTCTGATCCAGCTCTCTGCTAATGCACCTGGGAAAGCAGTGGAAGATGGCTCAAGTCCTCGGGTCTCAGCACCCATGTGGGAGAACTGGAAGAAGCTCTGGCTCCTGGCTTCGACTTGGCCCAGCTCTGGCTGTTGGGACCATTTTTTAAGTGAACCACTGGACGGAAGATCTTTCTCTCTCTCTCTCTCTCCGCCCCCCCCCCTTGCCTCCCTCTGTCTGTCACCTCTTTATATGTAACTCCAACTTTCAAATAAAAAATATTTTAAAAAATTTAAAAATATTCAGACACATAAAGTCACTGCAACAACAACAACAACAACAGAAAACTGACAGAATAACCATTCCCCAATTCCACAGTTGAAGAAACATATGTGACCTTAAAGATTTTTTTCTTTATGTTTTTTTTTTTACTAAAGTAAATACAGATAACTTAGCTTGTAACACCATTTATTTATTTATTTATTTTTCTTTTTTTTTTTTTTTTGACAGGCAGAGTGGACAGTGAGAGAGGGAGAGAGACAGAGAGAAAGGTCCTCCTTTTTTTCCGTTGGTTCACCCCACAATGGCTTCTGTGGCCGGCGCGCTGCGCCGATCCGAAGCCAGGAGCCAGGTGCTTCTCCTGGTCTCCCATGCAGGTGCAGGGCCCAAGGACTTGGGTTATCCTCCACTGCACTCCCGGGCCACAGCAGAGAGCCGGACTGGAAGAGGAGCAACCAGGACAGAATTTGGCGCCCCAACCAGGACTAGAATCTGGTGTGCTGTAGCCGCAGGTGGAAGATTAGCCTAGTGAGCCGCGGCGCCAGCCGTAACACCATATTTTTAAGCTGAGATAATAAATCTGTTAATTATTAGTACATTGATACAATCAATCTTTAAACTATTTCCGTATATACTAATAAATTCTTCATTTTCTCCCAGCAGTCTATGGCAATCACAATTAGACTATTCTCACTATTTTTGCACAAGACGTTTGTCACAGAATGTTTGTATAACAGGGAGAAACCCAGTTGTCCTTTTTTGTTTGGAGCAATGACTTCAAAGTCATTATTTGATGTCCTGCTCTATGACATGGGAGCTATTCCTCCTTTTCTCATTCTGAGAACACCTGCCCACTGTTAATAGAAGCTTGTAAGTAGTATTTCAAAAGACATCTAAACTCTGTCCAAGTTTACTTACATCATTTTCTAACATGAGATCTCACCTCTCACAATCCCGTTTTGACTTCCAGTATATCCCGGTGCCTAAGACAACAGTTGCAGCTTCTCCTTAATGAGTAGACATCCCTGGATCTCACCTGGAATAGTTTGTGGAGGCTTGACACAAAGCAACTACATGCTTCTTCATTGACACCACCTGCACAAATTACCTAGCACACAATGTAGGTGTCAGAAATTTCCACCACTTCAAATTAGACACTCACACTCAAAGCCACACACACACACACACACACACACACTTGTATATATTTCATCTGTGAAACATTGAGACCAATATTGCCAATATTATGAAGAAATATTATAGAGAAAATAAGGTTTTCCTAGTATATCCTTTGAAAAGTTCATTATCAATCACAGAGCCAGGATGATGTGGTCTAATTATTAGAGTCAACCTCGGCCATTATTTTAAAAATCTTTAGGGGCTTGCACTATGGCAGAGTAGGTTAAGCATCCACCTGCTCTGCTGACATCCATATATGAGCACCAGTTGGAGTCCTGGCTGATCCACTTCCAATCCATTTCCCCGCTGATGGCCTGGGAAAGCAGTGGAAGGACTTGGGCCCCTGCACCTGCATGGGTGACCTGGGAAAAGCTCCTGGCTCCTCAATTTGGACTGGACCAGCTCCAGCCATTGCAGCCATTTGGGAAGTAAAACAGCAGATGGAAGACTCTCTCTCTCTCTCTCTCTCTCTCTTTCTCTGCCTCTGTAACTCTGCCTTTCAAGTAAATAAATAAATCTTTCAAAAAATCTTTAAAGAAGGCAACAACATCTCTCAGTTTAAAGGAGAATCTCTTGAAGAACAGTGGTTTCTCTACTTACTACTTGTTGAATTCTTTATTTAGTAGAAAGATAAGCTTGTGGTTATAAAGAAAATTGAAGATCTGTTATTGTAAAAATTAAAACAATAAGAAAAGGAGGAGGAGAGATGATGAGAGAGAAGAAGGGAGGGAAGGTATAAACCAGTATTGATGAGATACAGAACATTTTCTGCCTTTATATAAAGAAAAGCAAGGCCGATGTCGTGGCTCAATAGGCTAATCCTCTACCTAGCGTCGCCGGCACACCGGGTTCTAGTCCCGGTCGGGGCACCGGATTCTGTCCCAGTTGCCCCTCTTCCAGGCCAGCTCCCTGCTGTGGCCTGGGAGTGCAGTGGAGGATGGCCCAAGTGCTTGGGTCCTGCACCCCATGGGAGACCAGGAGAAGCACCTGGCTCCTGCCTTCAGATCAGCGCGGTGTGCCAGCCGCAGCGCGCTGGCCACGGTGGCCATTGGAGGGTGAACCAACGGCAAAAGGAAGACCTTTCTCTTTGACTCTCTCTCTCTCACTGTGTCACTCTGCCTGTAAAAAAAAAAAAAAAAAAAAGAAGAAAGAAAAAAAAAAAGGGAGAAGCCTTGAATGGAAATCATCGTGTGTGTGTTTCTGTCTGTCTGTCTTTCCCTTTCATATACACACCAAAGTCAGCGGCTTCTATATCAAACATCCTTAAAATTCATGTGGGCACTATCATGAATACACTAACAGACAGAATAACAATTTTATAATCTAATGACTTGGTGAACACTGGATTCCTTTTACCTATGATTTTAATCACAGTATATAAGATAATTTATGTTGTTACATCATACTTATATTTTTAAAGATTTATTTATTTATTTGTAAGATAGAGTTATAGAGAAGCAGAGGCAGAGAGATAGGGGAGTCTTCCATTTGCTAGTTCACTCACCAAATGGCTACAATGGCCAGAGCTGTGCTGATCCAAAGCCAGGATCCAGCAGCTTCTTCGGGGTCTCCTACATGGGTGCTAGGGCCCAAGCACTTGGGCCATATTCTACTGCTTTCTCAGGTCATGGCAGAGTGCTGGATCTGAAGTGGAGCATCTGGGACTTGAACCAGCACCCATATGGGATGCTGGCACTGTACGCAGCAGCTTTACCCACTACACTACAGTACTGGCCCCAAATCATACTTATTTTTAAGTAGAGATGAAAATGTTGTTTATACACACTGAATGCAACCCATATTGGCAACTCTGCCCACTAACCCATTCTACAGTTCCTCCAGATAGGCTCTGGCAATCTCCATTAGACTATCTGGTATTGTAATATTCGTCCCTTTATGCACTTTATACAGTAAAGTGTATTTGAAGGAAACAGAAGGATTGTTATAGAGAGATGAATAAGCCCTGGAATTACACCTTGACAATCTTTGATCTGTGACAACATAGCAAACCCTGTTCAATGAGTATGCTAGAAAAAATAATCTGTAGATTATTTTGTCATAATGCAGGGAACGTTGGCCACAGAAGAAACATACAGCATATACAGGTTTGTGTGTGTGTGTGTGTGTGCATGCTTATATGTGTGTGTATGCATTTATGCGTGGTTTTGAGTGTGGACGTGTAATTTGGGGGTAGCTGTTTCTGACTACTATGTTTGATGGATTATGATGCAGATGGGTGTCAATGAAGTAGCATGTTGCTACTGTAGGTCAAGTCTCCACAAAACATTTCTGGGTGGTATCCAGGACTTTTTACTAATAAATCTCGCTCCAGAGAAGTTGAAACAGGTATCTTAGACACTGGAATATATTACAAGCAAAAATGGGTTTGTGAGAGGTGAGTTCTTGGTAGAAAGTGGCATTGAGAAAAATTGGACAGTTTAGATGTGCTTAAAATTACTACATACTAGCTCCTTTTAATATTGGGTCGGTGTTCTCAGAAAGGGAAATGGAGAAATAGTTTCCAGGCCATAGAGCAGCAAGACAAGTAAGGCCTTGTAAAATAGTTGTTCCAAACCAAAATTTCCAACTGTGTTTCTCTCAGATCTATGCTCATCTTGAAAAAAACTTCTTGTGCTTATGTTAGTGAGTGGAAGAATTAATAAAGAACAAAATGAGCATAACACAGACCTACAGTCATTGTTTTTAGTGCTTACTAAATCCAGGGCTTATTCATCTCTCTATAACAATCCTTCTGTTTCCTTCAAATACACTTTACTGTATAAAGTGCATAAAGGGACGAATATTACAATACCAGATAGTCTAATGGAGATTGCCAGAGCCTATCTGGAGGAACTGTAGAATGGGTTAGTGGGCAGAGTTGCCAATATGGGTTGCATTCAGTGTGTATAAACAACATTTTCATCTTTGCTTAAAGGCCTTAAAGATTCAAAAGTGTCAACGTGTATCTCCTTAGGGAACTTTGAAAGAAGGCAACCATCATTCCTACTTTCTCGGAGAAATCCTTTATCAGGATCTTCTTGAGTGTCTGTCTCTCTCCCTTTCTCACACACCAAAATTTCGATGTCCTCACATGAAAAATCATTCATGTGGCCATGCTAATGAATAACCTCACAGACAGAATGATCATTCCCTAAACTAATATGGTGATAGAACAGATTATTTTTAGTTGTGATTTTTAATCAGGGTAATCACAATGATTTACATTGTCACATCTTATTTTTAATCACAGATGATAAAAATGTTAAGTATATTCACACAGAAGGCAATCAATCTTTGTAACATTTCCTTACACACTAACCAATTCTTGATTTCCTCAAAATAGTTCCTGACAATCTCAATTAGAATATTAACACTATAATACTGACCACTTTATGTAACCTATATAATAGAGTTTATTTGAACAGAATCAGAAGGAGGACTGCTATAAATTTTTCTTTATGCCATGTTCTACCATAAACTCTCACCTCTCACAACCTGCTTTGGCTCCCGATATATTCCCACTGCTAAGACATCTGTTGCAGCTCTCTGGAGCAAGCTTGATTAGTAAAAATTCCTGGATCCCATCCTGAAATAGTTTGTGGAGATGACACGCAGGAGGTAAGTGCTTCTTCACTGGCGACCACCTTTACCAACAATCTGTAAAATATTTTAGAAGGAATTCAGAAATGTCTACCACTTCAGTTTAGATGTGCACACTTCAAACTCCAGATGTATGCAGAGCAGAATTGGTGATTAAAAAGGAGCGAAGATACATGCCTGGGATATAGCCATGGGGAATTCGCAGCAGGAAAACCAAGAGATCAGCAGAGACTGGGCAGGTCCATGCCAAAAGAGCAAACAAGAAAGGGAAATGTCAGAGGTTCAGACTGGGGTGGTCAGCACAAGCCCCCAGTGGACCAGGTAAGACGGGACTCTATGGGTGCATAGGGGTGCAGATAACATGGGAGAGAGAGATTGGCAAACTGCTTTTGAAGTTCCATGTAGGAAAAAAAGAAAATATTGAGGAACAAACAGAGAGGTTGCCCCCCCCCCTGCACATCCCCCTCCTCACTTTCCCCACTAAAACTTGCAGTTGATTGGGAGAAATCATTTTACCTCATTGTGTGTTTGTTTACATTCCTGGATGCCAGCAATGGACTGCCGCCCTTGCCTTCTGCTTGTGTGCTCATCAATAGCTGGGTCACCTCACCTCACCCCCCCCCACCCAGGAAAGAGGACCACAACAATTGGAAGGAATTTCTTCTCCCACCATGAAGCTATACAACAAGGAGAAGTCCTGACTATCAGAAGCTTGTACCTGTCCCACCACCATTGAGAAGAGAGTTGGGCTGCAGTAGGTGAGATTCCACACACCCATTGGCAATGCACAGACCCATTGCAGTTCATAACAGAGGGAACCATCTCCACAGGAAAATCTCTGTGCTTAGGGGTGCAGTTCATTAAGCAGGGCTATCTAATCCTGAACACACCAGAGCCTAACACCAGGGCATCCTGCAACTGTGAGGAAAAGGGCAAGTCACACTAACAGAAGTGAACTTCTTCCAACCAAATAACCAGAGGAAAGTTACAAAGCCCCATGGGGACCCTGCCTCGGATAACTTATCCACCCTGGAATACTGAACAGAGCAATTAAGCCACATCCAGCAGACCAGTTGGTATGCACTAAAAGTACAGATGTTCCCACTAAACCACAAAGACACAAATCAAAGAGAAAAGCAACCAGACCAAAAAAAATATAGAAATGCCAAAAAACAAAGGAAAAATCTTAAATAAGAATAAGGAAGATACTATAAGCCCCCTAAGGGAATACTACAAGATTTCAATAGTAGAAGGTAAAGATGAACAGATCAAGGATATGCCAGAAATGGAATTCAGAAAATTAATTATCAGATTACTCAAAAGCAATCAGAAGCAAATTTATGATCTAAATGAAAAGTTTTCTCATGAAACTGACATATTAAAGAGAAGTCAGAATGAAATATTAGAAATGAAGAATTCAATAGATCAAATAAAAATGCAGTGGAAAATCTTAACAACAGAATAGGTGAGACAGAAGAAAGAATGTCAGAACTAGAAGACAAACTCCTGGAAATTTTACAGTCAAACCAAAAAAAAAAGAAGAAGAAGAAATTAGAAAACTAAAAAGCACTGTTGGAGATCTTCAAGACACTATCAAATGATCCAACTTACGGGTCCTTGGAGTTCCAGATGTGGAAAGAGAAAGGATTAGAAGGTCTTCTTAATGAAACAATAATGGAAAACTTACCCAATCTGGAGAAAGAGACATCCAAATACAGGAGATACACAAAATTCCCAATACACGTGACCAGAAAAGACATGACACATTGTAGTAAAACTCTCCACAGTAAAACGTAAAGAGAAGATCTTAAAACGTGTGTGAGAGAAACACCAAATCACATTCAGAGAAACCCTAAATAGACTTACTGTGGACTTCTCATCAGACACCCTACAGGCAAAGAGAGAATGGCGAGATATTTTTAAGTCCTAAGAGAAAAAACTGTCATCCCAGAATACTGTATCCTGCAAAGCTCTCATTTATGAACAAAGGAGAAATAAAGATTTTTTCATAACAAACAGGAATTGAGTTTGTAACTACCCACCCAGCCCTATAGAAGATGCTCAATTATGTGCTACACACAGAAACACAGAAACAGGAACATCACTACGAAAGAAGGCAAACACAGAATATGACCCAGTAAAAGTACAAAGGAAATCCAAAGTAAAAAAATAACACCATTAATGGAACTATGACAGGGCAAAGTCATTTCATAATAATAGTCACGCTGAATGTAAATGGCATCTATTTTCCAGTCAAAAGATACAGATTGGCTTATAGATTAAAAAAGAAAACCCATGTATTTACTGCCTAAAATAAACACATCTTACCAACAAAGATGCACACAGACTGAAAGTGAAAGGATAGAAAAAGTTAATCCACTCCAACAGCAACCAAAAAAGAGCTAGTGTAGCCCTCCTAATATCAGACAAAATAGACTTTAACATGAAAACATGTTACATGAAACAAGAAACAAAGAAGGACATTATATAATGTTATTGGATCAATAAAACAGGAAGATGTGACTATTATAAATATATATGCACCTAATTAGAGGTCACCTGGCTATCTAAAAGAAGTGTTAATGGTTTTAAAGGGATATATAGACTTAAATATGACAGTAATGGGTGACTTCAATACCTCACTTTCAGCAATGGACAGATCAACCAGACAGAAAATCAGCAAGGAAACAACAGAGTTAATCGACACTATAGGCCAAATGGAACTAAAAGATATCTACAGAGCTTTCCACCCTACAACCACTGAATGCACATTCTTTTCACTAGTGCATGAAACTTTCTCTAGGATTGATCATATGCTAGGCCATAAAGTGAGTCTCAGCAAATTAAAAAAAAATCAAAATCATACCATGCATCTTCTCAAACCACAATGAAATAAAATTGGTAATCAACAACTCGGGAATACCTGGAACATACACAAACACATGGAGACTGAACAACACACTCCTAAACCAACAGTGGGTCATTGAAGAAATCGAAAGAGAAATCCAAAAAATTTCTGGAAACAAAGGAAGATGACAATACAACATATCAAAACTTATGGGATACAGAAAAAGCAGTGCTAATGTTTATAGCATTTGGAGCCTAGATCAAGAAATCAGAAAGGCACCAAATAAATGAGCTATCAATGCATCTCAAGGACCGAGAAAAACAACAGCAAACAAAACCCAAAACTAATAGGAGAAAAGCAATAATTAAACCAAAAAAGGAGAGAGAAGACCCAAATTAATAAAATCAGAGATGAAAAATGAAGTGTGTCAACAAATACCACAGAAAAAGAATCATCAGAAATTCCTACAAAGAGCTGTATGCCAACAAAACAGGACACATAGAAGAAATGGATAGATTCCTTGACACATAACAACCTACATAAATTGAGCCATGAAAACATAGAAAACCTAAACAGATCAATAAAAACAGAACTTGAATCAATTATAATTCAAAGAAAACAAAGAAAAACCCAGGGCCGGATGGTCTCACTGCTGAATTCTAGTAAACATTTAAAGAACTAACTCCAATTCTTCACAAGCTATTCAAAACAATCAAAAGAGAGGCAATCCTTCCAAATTCTTTCTATTAATTCAGTATCACCTTAATTCCTAAACCTGAAAAGATATAGCAGAGAAAGAGAATAACAGATCAATATCTCTGATGAACATAGATGCAAAAATCCTCAACAAAATGCTAGCCAATTGACTCTAACAACACATCAGAAAGATCATCCACCTAGACCAAATGGGATTTACTCCTGGTATGCAAGAATAGTTCAATATTTGCAAATCAATGTGATACATTGCATTAATAAACTGAAGAATAAAAATTATATTATCTCAGTAGATAATATAATAATCTCAGTAGATACAGAGAAAGCATTTGAAAAATACAACTCTTCATGATGAAAACTGTAAACAAATTGGAAATATAAGGAACATTTCTCAATACAATCAAAGCAATATATGACAAACCCATGGCCAGTGTCCTATTGAATGGGGAAAAGTTGGAAGCAATCCCACTGAGATCTGGAACCAGACAAGGGTGTTCCCTCTCACCACTGCTTTTCAATATAGTCCTGGAAGATTTTAGCCAGGGCCATTAGACACAAAAAAGAAATCAAAGGGGTACAAATTGGGAAGGAGAAAGTCAACTATCCCTAATTGCAGATTACATGATCCTGTACATAGGGGATCCAAAAGACTCCATTGAGATACTATTGGAACTCATAGAAGAGTATGGAAATGTAGCAGAATATAAAATCAACACATAAAAATCAATAGGCTTTATATGTAGACAATGCCACTGCTGAGAGCTTCTAAAATCAACCTCATTCACAATAGCTGCCAAAAAAAAAAAAAATCAAATACTTTGGAATAAATTTAACCAAGGGTGTCAAAGATCTTTACAATGAGAATTACAAAACATTAAAGAAAGAAATAGAATACTCCCCCCAAAATGGAAAAAATCTTCCATTTTCATGGATTCAAAGAATCAATATCATCAAAATGTCCATACTACTGAAAGCAATTTACAGAATCAATGTGATAGTGATCGAAATACCAGAGATATTCTTCTCAGATACAGAAAAAATAATGTTGAGATTCATATGGAAATACAGGAGACTCTGAATAGCTAAAACAATCTTATACAATAAAAGCAAAGCCAGAAGCATCACAATACCAGCTTTCAAGACATATGCCAGGGCAGTTGGAATCAAAACAGCCTGGTACTGGTAAAAAAAAAAAAAAAAAAAAAAAAAAACCAGATAAATAGCCAAATAGATAGACAAATGGAACAGAATATAAACACCTGAAATCATTCCAAATATCTGCAACCACCTAATCTTTGAAAAAAGAGCCAAAATCAACCCTTGGAGCAAAGACAATCTCTTCAAATGTTGCCAGGAAAGCTGGATCACCACATGCAGAAGCATGAAGCAAGATCTTTACCTGACATCTTTCACCAAAATCCGCCCAAAATGGACTAAAGACCTAAATCTATAACTCAACATCATCAAATTATTATAGAACAATGGGGAAACCCTACAAGACATTGACATATACAGAGTTCCTGGAAAAGACCCCAGAGGCACAGGCAATCAAAGCCAAAATAGATAAATGGGATTACATCAAATTGAGAAGCTTCTGCACTGCAAAAGAAACAATTAGCACGGTGAAGAGACAACTGACAGAATGGGAGAAAATATTTGCAAACTACACAACTGATAAAAGATTAATAACCAGAATATATAAACATATCAAGGAACTTAACAACAACAAAACAAACAATCTGGTTAAGAAATGGGCAAAGGAATTAAACAGGCATTTTTCAAAAGAGGAAATCCAAATGGCCAACAGACATCTGAAAAAATGCTCAGGACTGCTAGCCATCAGAGAAATGCAGATCAAAACCACAATGAGGTTAACCACACCCCAGTTAGAATGGCTTTCATACAGAAATCAACAAACAACAAATGCTGGTGAGGATGAGGGGAAAAAGATACCCTAATCCAATGTTGGTGGGAATGTAAACTGGTAAAGCCACTATGGATGACTGTGTGGAGATACCTCAGAGATCTAAATATAGACCTACCATATGACCCAGGCATCCCACTCCTGGGAATCTACCCCAGGGAAATGAAATCTGCATATGAAAGAGCTATCTGTACTTCCATGTTTATTGCAATTCAATTCACAATAACAAAGACATGGAATCAACCCAAATGCCCATCAGCTGAAGACTGGATGAAGAAATTTTTGGATATGTACACAATGTTCTGCTGCTACACAGCAGAAAAAAAAAAAAAAACAAAGTCCAGTCATTTGCAAAACAAAAAAATGGATGAAACTGGAAAACATCATCAATCTCAAAGGGACAAATTCCATATGTTCTCTCTGACAGGTGATAACTAATAAAGCACATAAAAATAACATGTAGAAATGATAGACACTAAGAGAAGTAATGATTTTGAACAGCCCTTCTCTTGAGTGTTGATGAAAGCTTCCTGTTATATATTTTTGGTTATCTTTTCCTTTATGATATTTTCCTTTTCTTTTTCTCTTCCATATGAATCATTGAACCCTATACTAAACAGAGTTTACCATATATGTATAAAGTTAATTGAAAATAGAGCTTAGTAAAGAATAAGAGTGAGAATAAGGGAAGAGGAAGGGCCATGGGAATGTGGGTGGAAGGGCAGGGACAGTGGGAAGAATTTCCTAGATCCTAAAGCTATAATTGGGAAATGCATGAAGTGCCTACCTGCAAAGCAATATAGTGCTACATACTTTATTATGGATTCACTTCTAAGGGTACAGCCAAACAAATTGTTATAGGACCCCAAAATCCCTTAAGCTGGCTGATAAAAATAGCAACTTAAGTGTTATGAAGACAAAAAAAAGAGGATTAAATAGTAAAATGAACATATAGATAGAATCAATAATAGGGATAATTAAAAAAGAGTGAAGGCTCCAATATGGCAAGCAGTCCATACACAGACTCATTGAATGGCAATCGCTTTAAGTAGCACTTTGACTTCAGAATCATCCCTCAAGCCACTCTGGTCTGGCTGGAAAGCCCAAGGGGAGCATATCAGGCATGGAAAGCAAAGAGACACTCTGGCAAAAGATGTCCTACATAAAGGACATTGTGGGTGGACCCCGGTGGAAAGAAAGGGCCACCAAAGAAGGATATACTTTTCTCTGAAGAGAGGAGAGAACTTCCACTTTGCTGATGGCCTTTTTGAGCTAGTGGATACAAAAAGCTTCCGTAGCCAAGCCAGCTCATGTCAAGAGCCCTGGGTAATTACTGATGTTATACATAAGAGTGGTATTTGTTAAATACACAAGAGCCATTGTGCACTAACTTCCCACACAGGACCTCTCTCCCCAAAGAGTTGCACCATGAAACTTATTAGTAGAACTTGTTCTGAAGAATCACTTCCTTTTAGTATATTAAAAGGAGGATATTATTGTATTATTGTGACTCTTAAAGGTACATCATCCTCAGATTCTTCTTCAAAGACCATTAAGTTGCTAAAAGGAAAGAAGGGAGGAAGGAAAAAAAAGGAAGAGGGAAAAGCGAAATCACCGTCAAGAAGCAATAACATAGATCAACCCTTATATAGACTGTTGAGGAACACTTCTCTTAGTTTTCTTTGCTCCTTATTTTCTTTTTATTTCTTTTCATTTTTCTTTCTCAGATAAAACAGGAGAGGGAGCAAGAAGAGGGGAGGAGAAAGATGGGAGGGTAGGTATGGTGGGAAAATTATCATGTACACAATGTATTTATGAGATACAAACAAAAATAAATAAAAATAACATTAATAATAATGTGTATATATAGAGAGAGGCTTCCATGGAGAAAATCATGCCTTACATGAAGAAATTGCCCTGGGCTTGGGGACCACGTATTTGTACCTTTTCTTCCCCTTGATGAACTCAATAGATACTTCATAAAGACTAAAAAGAGATTTATTCACAGAACAAATACATATTTCAGTAGAATCTGGCTGTTCTTCCATTCCCTTTTAAAGTAGGATGAGCTTGTGGAAGATTCAAGAAAGATTTGCTGAGATCTCAATTGAGGTTGTATTGAATTGATAAATCAGTTTGAGGAAAGCACTTTTAGAAAATATCAGTTCAATTCATGCTATCATCTAGAGAGAATCTGGACCTGGTTTTGTCTTGTACATATTAGTACCTCTCATACTGCAAGTGAGTGCAACCAACCAATAAACCTAGCTCCGAGAACGAAGATGAGAACTCAATGAAGGTCCTCTCCCCTTCTTGCAGGCATAAAGTCTTGGCTTGGTTGTGGAATTCAAAATAAAGGAAAACAAATAGGACTTTGGAACCAGGCCAAAGGAAAAAGGACAAAGCCCCAAACAAACACAGAAAACAACCCACAAACCCAGATGTGTCTACAGCAGGATCCTCAAGTCCTGTGTGTTGTTCTCAGGGCTTACTGTTTCTTCTGCTCACTTTAATCCGAGGCTGAACAACAGGATTTACCTTCCTGTAGAACAGAGGCATTGAATCCCCCTCTTCACCCCCTCTCTCTATTACTCATCCTCCATTTTGTTCAGTGTGTACAACCACATTCCATGAGGAAGCCAAGTTATACAGAGAGAGGCTGAAGCAGGTTGTCTGGAGAAAGACAATTGTTAGAGTTTTTCTAGCATCTGAAGAGGGTGAACAGGAGAGGGATGGAGTGAAAGTACACACATTGGTCAAGTAACTGGGATCTCTTCACAGTGAGGGGTCCTGTAATGACCACTCACTGTGGGATGAGGGCTGGTTTTCCATCGTTCTACATTACCTATACTCACCTGGTCAGGCTGCTGGACATCCAGAGTGCTTCCATTGTGAGATGTACCAGAACTGGCCCAGCAGGAGGGAGAATATCCCTTGAGAGGAGATTCATGGATCATGAGGTCACTGGATTTGCAGGGTGGAATACAGGGGACTAATAAGTAGGGCTGTCAGGAGGACTCAGGGAGAAGTCAGAGGGGGAACTGGAAACGGGAGGCAAATTCACAGGGAGGAAAAGGGGGGATTTGGTAGGAACAGAAGAGCTGATCATGAATTGAAATGAGGCCAAGTCATTGGGGGAGTTACTATCAAGAATGGGGTGAAATGTGGAGCAGAAATCTGAGAGACATTCACTGCATGTGGGTGTGATCTCCTCTATGCTGGAATTCTCAGAAGACTCATCAGATAGGAGGACTGGAGAATAATCATGAAATATACCAGAAGGAGGGAGAGACTTGGATGGAGGATTCAAGGGAGGGTGAGGCTGGCATGGAGGGCCAGGAGAGAGAGGGAAATTTGCGGGAGAGGGATGCCAGGATGCACTGACAGCAGGAGTTTGAAGATGGCGTGAAGGGTGACAAGGAGTGGAAGACTGATGTAGTGAAGGAAAACAAGCCTGAAGTGGGTATGAAGAGTCAGGAGCATGAGGCCAAGGTGAAAGAAAGGGAGAAAGAGGCTTGTGTGGAAGCCGAGCACAGGGTTGGGGCCGGGGTTTAGGAATACAAGAATGGTGAGGTCGGTAGGTGAGATGAGCAGGAGGGTGTGGAGGGAATGCAGGAAGAGGAGGATAAGCCCGGATTAGAGGGACAGGAGGGTGAGTCTGGGGCTGAGGGTCAGCAGGAGGGTGAGGCCGAGTTGAAGAGTGAGGAGGATGAGCGTGGCTTAGAACATCCGGCTGAAGCTGGGCTGCAAGATGAGCAGGGTGAAGCCGGGTTGTAGGAGGAGGAGCAGGGTGAGGCTGGGCTGGACGATGAGCAGAGTGAAGCTGCGCTTTAGGATGAGAAGGGGCTTGAGGCTGGGTTGGAGGAGGAGAAAAGTGACGAGGGGGATGAGGATGGGGTGGAGGAGGAGAGAGAGAGTGTGGCTGGGGTCGAGGCTGAGGAGGGAGAGGCTCAAGTGGAGGACAAGAAGGAGTGTGGGGGAGGGGTGGAGGATGAGGAGAGTGAAGCTGGGATGTGGGACAAGGAGGAAGGTGAGCCAGGGGTGGAGGACGAGAAGGAAGGTGAATCTGATGTGGAGAATGAGAAGGAGGGTGAGGGCTGGGTGGAAGAGAAAGGTGAGGGCTGGATGGAGAATGAGAAGCGGGGGACTGGCTTAGAGGAAGAGGACGGTGATGCCGGTGTGGGAGGCCAGGACGGCGAGGCCAGGGTGGGGGACCAGAAGGAGGGTGAGGCTCGTGTGGAAGAACAGGAGGGTTAAGATAGAGTGAATGACAAGGGAAGGGAAGCCGGGGTAGAGAATCTGAAGGTTTGGCAAGCTGGAGCGAAGGACCGGAAGCAGGGTGAGGATGGGGTGAAGGACCAGAAGCACTGGGAGGCCCAGCAGGAGGACAAGGAGGGGGAAGCTGGGATGTAGGACCAGGAGTTTGAGGGTGGTGTGAAGGGACAGAAAGAGGGTGGAGCTGGCATGACCGACCAGGATGGTGGGGCTGACATGGAGGGCCGGGAGGAGGGTGAGGCTGGTGTGGAGGATCGGAGGGGTGAGGCTGATTTGGAGGAATAGCCAAAGGAGTAGCCTGCAGATGAATCCCAAAAATTTTAGGTAGCCTTTCTGACATTTCTGGAAGATGCTTCTAGCTGCTGCTCTTCTCAGAGTGGAAACAGGAGCAACTGGAACATAGCCAGGCCTATCACAGCTTTTATGTCACAAACCATCCTATGACATAATGCTCATTATGACACATATGTGCCCCTCCCCTCTGACCTGTGGGTAGGCCCTACCCACCAGGGAAGGGGCTCCATGGTACAGCTTGAAGAGCAATCCTGGGAAAGAGGACAGAGAAGAAAGGAGTCTGTAATAATAGCCCCTGTTCTTGGCTTAATGTGTCATTTTGCCAAGGAGTGACCAAAGGTCATGGATATGGTTAGAATGCTGGGGCCAATCAGAGAGGATCTGTTGCAGGAATTGGAAATGTAAGCACTTAATGCTCCAGTCTACTTACTACACTTCCCAAATCGATTTCCCATAATTTACATATGTGCATGAATACCAGGTGTTCAGAGATGCTGTGTCCCTTTCACCGGTATCAAAGACTGAAGAGACTAGGGAGTTTTCTCCTAGGAAGCTGTGAATGACAAAGTTATAGGATGAGAACTTGGGCCAAGAAAGGGGTGCACATAGGAGGGAGCACAAAATGACGCAGGGCACTGATATGCATGATCCTTTTGCTGCTCCTCTGCGGTATCTTGTATGTGGTGCTTCAAAGCAGAACTTTACTTTTTCGGTTTAGCTCTCAGTCCCTGTGCCCACTGACTTTGTTTCCTTCCACCTAGAGCCATTTTCCTAGGGAAAAAGCTGGTAGGATGTCCTCCCTGAGTGCCTCGTGACTCCCAAGTCCAATACCAGAGTTGCCTAACTCTAGTTCACTCCCCAAATGAGTGCAAAAGCCGAAGCCAGGAGCCAGGAGCTTCTTCCAGGTCTCTCACGTGCAGGACGGGTTCCAAACACTTGGGCCATCTTCTTCTGTTTTCCCAGGAAGATGGATCGAAAGTGGAGCAGTCAGAACCCATGTGGGATGCTATTGTCGCAGGCAGCAGCTTTACATGCTACGTCACAACACCAGCCCTTGTAAACTACATCTTAGAGTAGTTTATATGTTATAACTTGCAACTGAGAAATGTATAACTGAAAAAAATAATTCCACTTGTTTCCTTGCTTCTCATTTAAAGAGACTCTATAAATACCAGTTGTAGAGGAAACTACTTACTACACTCACAAGTAAGATTAAGTAGCTTGGGGAATGTAATCACACTTCTGTAAACTTTGCTTATCTTTGAGAAGATATATTTTAATGATTATGACTTTAAAATAAAATTGCCTGCATCTTATTTTACCTAAAGCCCAGAAAACACTAACAAAATGTGTGTCCATCACATTTGGCAGCTCTCTAATGATGTTCACGATATCTTTTTTATTATTATTTGACATATAGAGTTAGTGAGAGAGAGACAGAGAGAAAGGTCTTCCTTCCATGTGACATTTTTAACACAACATGGATTTTCATAAGGATGATATGCTAAGAATGAACTGAAGTGACATGTGTGACCTCACCTAGTGTCACACATTTCGTGAATGACTTGGAATAGGTATTTGTATGGCTGGTTCATTGTAATTCCCATGTTTAACCTATAGTTGTCATCATTATTTCCAAAATTTGTAGGACAGCCACAATACCAGCTTCTGATTGGTTATATTCCATTAGCTATTCAGACTTGTAAAGACTCATGTTCCAATTTGGAATTCAAAAAGTACAGCAGTCACTTCTATGGCTTGTTTCTCCTATTTTCAAGGGAAATATATTTATTCTCAGCCTCCAAGACTGATGTATACTGTAGCAATATAATCTCACTCCTCTGTTACTGCCATTATCACAAAACATAGAGGTTAATACCACAGACTGTGGGTTCAGAAAGCTTCTTCTAATGCTTCCCAATAGAGTGACAACTGGTAATTAATATAATTTTTAAAAAATTTATTTATTTATTTGAAAGTCAGAGTTACACAGAGAGAGAAGGAGAGGCAGAGGGGGAGGTCTTCAATCTCCAGGTTCGCTCCCACAGTGGCCGCAAAGGCCAGAACTGTGCTGATCCGAAGCTAGGAGCCAGGAGCTTCTTCTGGGTCTCCCATGCGGTTGCAGGTGTGCAAGCTCTTGGACCATCTTCTACTGCTTTCCCAGGCCATGGCAGAGAGCTGGATTGGAAGTAGAGCAGCTGGGACTCGAACCGGCAGCCATATGGGATGGCAGCACCTGAGGAGGCAACTTTACCTGCTATGCCCCAGAGCTGGCCCCATTTATGTAATATTTTTAAGACTGAATACAACCACTTCTAAAATGGTAATAATATTACCTGCCCCATAAATTGGTTGTAAACTAAATTATAATTGGTGCTTTTCAGGTAGTATGCACTCATTACATGTAGCTATCATTGTTATTATTTTAATATACAAACAAATTAACATTACTGGAGGTCCCATTGTCTTATAGATGTGCTTCAAACATTATTGATATATTTCTGTGTTATTGACTTCCTTCTGTGTAAGAAACCAGTCCCTGGAGTAAGGACAATCTATTCAATAAATGGTGCTGGGAAAATTGGATTTCCACGTGCAGAAGCATGAAGCAAGACCCCTACCTTTCACCTTACACAAAAATCCACTCAACATGGATTAAAGACATAAATCTATGACCCGACACCATCAAATTATTAGAGAATATTGGAGAAACCCTGCAAGATACAGGTACCAGCAAAGACTTCTTGGAAAAGACCCCGGAAGCACAGGCAGTCAAAGCCAAAATCAACTATTGGGATTGCATCAAATTGAGAAGTTTCTGTATTGCAAAAGAAACAGTCAGGAAAGTGAAGCGGCAACTGACAGAATGGGAAAAAATATTTGCAAACTATGCAACAGATAAAGAGTTAATAACCAGAATCTGCAAAGAGATCAAGACACTCCACATCAAAACAAACAACCTACTTAAAAGATGGGCCAAAGACCTCAGTAGACATTTTTCAAAAAAGGAAATCCAAATGGCCAACAGACACATGAAAAAATGTTCAAGATCACTAGCAATCAGGGAAATGCAAATCAAAACCACAATGAGGTTTTACCTCACCCCAGTTAGAATGGCTCACATTTAGAAATCTACCAACAACAGCCCTGCACCCCATGGGAGACCAGGAGAAATACCTGGCTCCTGCCATTGGATCAGCGTGGTGCGCCGGCCGCAGCGCGCTGGCCGAGGCAGCTGTTGGAGGGTGAACCAACGGCAAAGGAAGACCTTCCTCTCTGTCTCTCTCTCTCACTGTCCACTCTGCCTGTCAAAAAAAATAATAATAATAAAAAAGAAATCTACCAACAACAGATGCTGGTGAGAATGTGGGGAAAAATGGACACTGTTGGTGGGAATGCAAACTGGTAAAGCCACTATGGAAGTCTGTCTGGAGACTCCTCAGAAACGTGAATATAACCCTACCATACAACCTAGCCATCCCACTCCTTGCAATTTATCCAAAGGAAATTAAATTGGCAAACAAAAAAGCAGCTGTTTATTGCAGCTAAATTCACAATAGCTAAGGCCTGGAATCAACCCAAAAGCCCATCAACAGTAAACTGGATAAAGAAATTATGGGACATGTACTCTATAGAATACTATACAGGCTGGCACCGCGGCTCACTAGGCTAATCCTCCGCCTTGCGGCGCCAGCACACCGGGTTCTAGTCCCGGTCGGGGCGCCGGATTCTGTCCCGGTTGCCCCTCTTCCAGGCCAGCTCTCTGCTGTGGCCCGGGAGTGCTTTGGAGGATGGCCCAAGTACTTGGGCCCTGTACCCCATGGGAGACCAGGAGAAGCACCTGGCTCCTGCCATCGGATCAGCGTGGTGCTCCGGCCGCAGTGCGCTGGCCGCAGTGGCCATTGGAGTGTGAACCACCGGCAAAAGGAAGACCTTTCTCTCTTTCTCTCTCTCTCACTGTCCACTCTGCCTGTTAAAAAAAAAAGAATACTATACAGCAGTCAAAAACAATGAAATCTGGTCATTTGCAACAAAATGAAGGAATCTGGAAAACATCATGCTGAGTGAAATAAGCCAGTCCCAAAGGGACAAATATCATATGTTCTCCCTGATCGGTGACAACTAACCAAGCACAAAAAAGGAAACCTGTTGAAGTGAAAGGACACTATGGGAAACAGTGACTTGATCAGCCCTTGTCCTGACTGTTGATGTACAATTTAACACTTTATCCCTTTTAGTATTTTTTTGTTGTTGTTCTAGTACTATTGGTTGAACTCTGTAATTAACACACAATTATTCTTAGATGTTGAAATTCGCCTTTTGACCAAGATGGCGCCGAAGGCAAAGAAGGAAGCTCCTGCCCCTCCTAAAGTCGAAGCCAAAGCAAAGGCCTTGAAGGCCAAGAAGGCAGTGCTGAAAGGCGTCCACAGCCACAAGAAGAAGAAGATCCGCACGTCCCCCACTTTCCGGTGGCCCAAGACACTATGCCTCCGATGGCAGCCCAAAAACCCTCAGAAGAGCACCCCTAGGAGAAACAAGCTTACCCACTATGCCATCATCAAGTTCCCCTTGACCACAGAGTCGGCCATGAAGAAGATAGAAGACAACAACACACTGGTGTGCATTGTGGATGTCAAGGCCAATAAGCACCAGATCAAACAAGCTGTGAAGAAACTCTGTGACATTGATGTGGCCAAAGTCAACACCCTGATCAGACTTGACGGAGAGAAGAAGGCGTATGTGCGGCTGGCTACTGACTATGATGCTCTGGATGTTGCCAACAAAATTGGGATCATCTGAACGGAGTCCAGCTGGCTAATTCTAAATATATGTTTTTTTCACCATAAAAAAAAAAAGAGATGTTGAAATTGAACTGAAAAGTGATTCCTGTTAAATATAAGAGTGGGAATAAGAGAGGGAGGAGATGTACAATTTGGGACATGCTCAATCGGACTTGCCCCAAATGGTGGAGTTAGAAATGTGCCAGGGGATTCCAATATAATCCCATCAAGATTGCATGTACCGTCCGGTGCCGCGGCTCAGTAGGCTAATCCTCCGCCTTGCGGCGCCAGCACACCGGGTTCTAGTCCCGGTCGGGGTGCCGGATTCTGTCCTGGTTGCCCCTCTTCCAGGCCAGCTCTCTCCTGTGGCCTGGGAGTGCAGTGGAAGATGGCCTAAGTGCTTGGGCCCTGCACCGCATGGGAGACCAGTAGAAGCACCTGGCTCCTGCCTTTGGATTGGCACGGTGTGCCAACTGCAGCACGCCGGCTGCAGCGGCCATTGGAGGGTGAACCAACGGCAAAGGAAGACCTTTCTCTCTGTCTCTCTCTCACTGTCCACTCTGCTGTCAAAAAAAACAAAAAAAAAAAACAACAACAACAACAAAAAAAAACAAAAACAAAAAAAACAAAACAAAACAAAAACCACCTAGAAAAAAAAAGATTGACTAGGGAGATTTCTGACACCATAAACAAGAGTGTCAAATTCTTAAGTCAACAACGGGAATCACTGTGTACTTACTCCTCATGTAGGATCCCTGTCCTTAATGTGTTATTCAATGTGAATTAATGCTATAACTAGTACTGAAACAGTATTTTACACTTTATGTTCTGTGTGGGTGCAAACTGATGAAATCTTTACTTAATATATACTAAATCAATCTTCTGTATATAAAGATAATTGAAAATGAATCTTGATGTGAATGGAATGGGAGAGGGAGCAGGAGATGGGAGGGGTACTGGTGGGAGGGAAGTTATGGCGGGGGGAAGCCATTGTAATCCATAAACTATACTTTGGAAATTATATTTACTACATAAAAGTTTAAAAAAATACATAATAGGAATTGTTTGTGTTCATAATTAATATGTTCAAATAAATATATTACCTATTGTTTTAATAAATTGTGAAATTTCTTTTGAGGAGTGGCATTTGGTCTAATATATAGGATGCGGATGCCAGTTGGAATGTCCCCATTCTAGTATCAGAGTGCCTGGGTTTGATTGCTCGCTCTTATTCTCAATTTCAACTTCTTGCAGACACTGAGGTAACAAGTTATATCTCCAGAACTCAGGCCCAGCCACCATGTGAAGGACATGAATTGAGTTCTCATCTCCTGGCAGGCCAGGCCAGGCCAGGTCGTTGGGGGCATTTGAGGGTGTTTCAGCAGATGGAAGCTTGCTTTCTTATTCTTTTTATATGTCTCTTATTTTTTCTCAATTTTTTTCTCTCACTGCCTCTCAAATAATAGCAACAAAGTAATTATTGGAATAGTTATTACAGTAGAATTCCTAAGTATTCCAAGGCTTTACTTAATTGCTTTTATTTTTTAATATTTGAGAGGCAGAAAAACATAAGACAGAGAGTGAGATTTATTGTCCATATTCTAGTTCACTACACGAATGTCTACAAGAGCCAGGACTGGACCAACCCAAAGCTAGGAGCCTGAAACTCCAACCAGGTCTCCTATGTGGGAGGCAGGGGCACATTACTTGAATCATCCTCTGCTGCCTACCAGGGCGCCTATGAGCAACAACTTAATGAGAAGTGAATCAGCTGGAACTTTAACCAGACACTCCATGAAGGATGTAGACATCCCAAGTGGCAACTTTACTACTGCTTCAAATTCCCATGTCAATTTATAATCTTGAATTATAAACAATCATCCTTTGGTATTTGTCACTGAGTTGTGATAACATGATCAGGCTTCTACAAAAGGTGATGTAAAGCCCATCATCAGAAAATAATGCTGATATTCTGACTGATGTGTAATAGCTCTTAGTCTTTCTAACACAGGTGTCTGCTTTGGATGATAAACCCTGGATATATCACATTTCTGAATCGTCAGTAATAAAGTATCAGGGAATATTTGGCTGAAAATAAATGAGAATGAAAATCTGCATCCATGTAAGAATATAATCCAGATCTCAGCTGTTTTGGTAAAAACAAAGGGATGCTTATTATGTTATTATATATATCATTTATGAAAATAACATTAAAATTATTATATCAGATGAATATAAACATTAGCATACTATGTGGAAGGAAATCTAATTGTGATCAAAGTGAAGACATTTGAATTATTACTAGAAAGTTCATTCTACTAAAAGTGGTGGCAAAACTATTATTTATCATCAAATAGAAGAATAAAACAAGATGCTAGAAATTTAATACTGGCTAACAAGAGTGATATTTTGGAAAACAAAATAAGTATAAAGAAAAAATGACTATAACATACAACATCACTTTCAAGACTCCTGGTGGTGAGTAAACAATATTTAAAGCTATTTGCAACTAATGTCTCACAATTACCATTTTAATGGTCTATAATTTTCCATCTGAATTATGTGCCATAATTTGCCTAAAGGGTCATATGCTCCCTCATATTGCTTCAAGCCTTATAGATCAGCTTCTGTAGTTTTTATTGAAAATGTACTTGATAAATCAATCTATGTTATTTTAATTGCAAACATCATTCTGCAATTTGGGTGGAACCTGATGCGTTCTTGGCTCAGTACTCATTAACTCCTACAGTTTATTAAAATAATATTCTAGCTTTTATTTGCTAACTTCTCTGTCTATCTCACTAACATAATAATGTTTCTCATTACCTTTTCCTTAATTTCAGATTTACTTTATTTATTTGAAAGCTTGGATAGGGCCTGGCATTGTGGCATAGCAGGTAAGGCTGCCAGCTGAGACAGCATTCCATATGAGTGCAAGGAGAACATGGGAAACACCCTGTTTACTTTGAAGCCAAATGGCATTTTTAAAGCACCCATGATTGAAATAAGGAATCACAGAAGAAATCAGAACTTATCTGGGACTGAACAAAGTTGAAAGTAAAACACAGTTGTGTTTGTGGGAGATAACTAAAATATCCCTTACCTTACTCTGAAATGGATGATTTTAAATGACAATGCTAGAAAAATGTTTTTCTAAAAGTTGTAAACAAAGAAAACAAACGCTAATAATATATATATATATATAGAAAGAGTTGTTTTCTTCTAATTAGGACAATCATCAGACCACTGACAAGATATTTTAGAAAAGAGAAAGTAAAAACAGCTGTCCAGACCTATGTAAGAAATGAAACTGAGAATTAAGAACCTTTGATAAGGAACATACTAGACTCATATAGGGCTACTATTAAATACTTTCAAATATAGGATGAAGAAATAACAATAGCAGAAATTTGTTCAAAAACAGGGAAAGACAAAATGCTCCCTAACTCATTTCCTGAGCAAATAACATTAGTGCTAAAACATGACACAAGACATGGAACGAATATACTTGAATGTTTAAATACTATGAAATACTCATCAAAATTTTAGACTAAGTCAGAGACAGCAGATGATGGTTTAAGTAGTTGGGAGCTGTATCTACATGGGAGAATAGGATTGAGCTTCCTGCTTCAGTGTCAGACAGGGCCTGCCCCTGGTTGCAGAATGGAGCGTGGGCAGGAGGGAGAGCAGGGTGGGAAGTAGTCCTATGTTTCTAAATCTATATATATGGAATACATGAAATCGGCGAACTGGAGCTCTCTGTTTCCTGTCTTCCCCTTCTCTCCCTCCCTCTCTCTCTGTTCCCCTCCCTTATTCTCTGCCCCTCAAATAAATTAGTAGATTTTTAAATTAAAAAAAAAGCAGGCAGACCATTTGAACAGTCAACACTAACTATATATTGGTCAATGAAAACATCAAAATATTCTTAACATCCATGATAATCAGAAAATGGCAGATTAAAATCATAATGAGATATTTTTAAATGAATATAATATTTATTTATCAAATTAAAAGATTAACAATATCAAGTATTGGTAAGGATGTATAGTAATCAAATATCTTAAATATTTCTGCTGTCAATTTAAATTCATAGTCAAGCGATTCTGCTTATAAGCATTTACCCAAAAGAAATGAAACATATTACTAAAAGCAGACTTCCATGTAACTCCAAATCAACCACAGCCTAATGGTCCTTCTGGAATAAAATGCATAAACAAATTGTAGTTAAGATACATAACAACTTCGATGAATCTCAACATGCACAAGGAGAAGTATGCCAGAAATAGAATACATACAGGGTGAATCCATTTATTTAATATTGGCATGCTACTTACTGAACTGAACTGTGAAGATAGAAATAAGACAAATGAATGGGGATTGGTAGAGCTCTGAAATAACCACTCTGAATGATGAAAAGGCATATTATGGCTCTGAACAATTATAATTTGTCCAAGTCATTGTATGTAAATGATCCTCAATAAATATGATAAAAATTGATAAAAGACAAGCATCACACTTTAAATTAAAGCACCAGTTATTTGATTTTGAGATGTTTCCTGAACATTGAGATTGTCCTATTCTGCTGTAAGTTTCAGATATGCTACCATAAGAAGTCATTAAAAGCATTCATAGTATTTGAGCCATACTGTGTGTTTCAAAATTGATGGAATTCCTAGATGAGGTTAAACTCAAGTTTCCTGACTCATGACTGACATTTGAGAAACAACAAAATCTTGCAACTGGCTACAGGGAATACAAACAAAAGGTCATAGGAAATGAAATATTCTCCCCAATTCCACTAAGAAATTTGAGAACATATGACAGGTTTTAGAACACAACAATCATTTATTAGTATGTGAAAAGTTTGGCAAGTGGTTGTTTAACACAAATAATATAGCATGATAGTTTAAGAAACCCCAAGCCTATATTTGAGAAGCACATGGCTTAATATAGAAAAGATATGTCCAATAACTTTTTAAAATTAGAAATAAAATTACAAGTGAGTGGATATTACATAGTTTAAAAGAATCCACATAATACTGGAAATCACAGTCATCTGCTATTCTGACTCAAGGTACCCTAAAAGCGACTGTGACAGAGCTTGACAAACATACGTATACAGTAAGAAAAATAGGTGATAGGATTAAAACAAATGAGATGTGCTTATATCAGAAAGAGAATATTTACTTTACTTAATGTATACTAAACTGATCTTCTGTTAAAAAAAAAAAAAGAAGAAATTAGCAATTCCCAACTTGACTTTCACTGGGATTAAACATGACAATAGGTCTAATCTGATTTCATCATCATTTAAAAAATCATCTATTATTTTTCACTTTATGTTTCTGTGTGGGAGCAAACTGTTGAAATCTTTACTTAATGTATGCTAAACTGATCTTCTGTATATAAAGAGAATCGAAAATGAATCCTCATGTGAATGGAAGGGGAGAGGGAAGGGGAAAGGGGAGGGTTGCGGGTGGGAGGGACGTTATGGGGGGGAAGCCATTGTAATCCATAAGCCGTACTTTGGAAATTTATATTCATTAAATAAAAGTTAAAAAAAAGAGAATATTTAAATAGTTAAATGATCTATGTGTCTCTTTCTGGAAAAGACCAATTATGCTGTAATGAAATTTTCGGGAGAGCAATCTTTTAATTCTACCATGATAAGAAAAATACATTTTTTACAAACACATTCAATCATGCATTCCAGTTTTCTAAACCTGAAAATGTGTTACAATGTGTGAAGAGAAAGCTGCTTGTGTTTCTGTAAAAAAAAAAAAAAAAAAAAAACAACATAGTTTCTAACACTGTATACACATGACTTTTAAAGGTCAAAGAAAGAGTCCTTGAAAATAATTTTCTGGACTGCAAAGTCTGGATCTAAATAGTAGGTAGAAACCCAACTCTTTCCTGTAACGTTGGGCTCTCTAATGCATT